TCGCGATTTTGGTTGGCATGCCTGTCCACCTCACATCCCAAATCTCACGCCAGGCACCTCACTTCACGCCGTCTTCCGGGCGGTCTCCCCTTGCGCTTCCTGACAGAGCTGAGCATTTAAAGTTAAAGTTAAGCTCAGCAATAAAATAATAACAAAAAAGTGGGCAACGTTTTTGAATTATTACTGAATCATTAGTAATCAGAATGTAAGATTCGCGATTTACAGAGGTTTTCTCGGTTTTCTAATATTTTGTTTTTGCCAAATGTTTACGAATCTCCTCATCAGCTGTTCAGAGCTGAGAGTTTCTGTCAGTCCCTGCCAAACAAGTGGCGGCATCGGGCCATTAAAGACCCATCATCTTTGTGGAAGAGCGCGTAAAGGCGCCTATCACCGCTACCGGGTTCTCGGTCATTCCCCGATTGCCCCGGCACTCGTTCGGGCGGGACGAGCGAGGGTCCTGCGACTCCGAATCGACCCCAAACCACAATCACACACTCAGCACTCACTCGTTGTTAATCACACGAAAACAGACCAGAAGAAAACGCGTGTGAAATCTATGGAAGTCTGCTGGAACTAGGTCACTCCGCGGTCGGTCCCTGCGTTACGACGATAAGCTGGGCAGGAAAGGCCGGGCGGGCGGGCGCGCGCGCGCGAAAAGGCGGGAGGCTGGGGCGGGAGCGTCGCGGAGGCTGTCCTGTCTACGCACCGTTGCGGGACGCGCTGTCCCGCCGCCGGATGTCCGCGGAAGTGCGCGCGCGCTCCTGCTCGGTCCCGTCCGCAGGCTGCCGGCCGGGCTGGAGTCCTCTCCTCGCTCGGAGCCCCCGCGAGCGACTGGCGCCGCCACCATGGACTGACGCGGGCTGACGGCCGGCCGGACACCGCGCCGAGCAACGCGGAGCACTGCGGCCACAGCGCTGTCCTTGTCGGTCTTCCTCAGGCGCCTCGCGCGACGGAGAGAGAGAGAGGGGGAGGGACAGACAGACAGACAGACAGACAGACAGACAGACAGACAGACAGACAGACAGACAGACAGACAGACAGACAGAGATGGCTTCTCCTCTGCCCTTATGCCCGCGACCCCACACGTCACGCACCCCCATGTATCTCCATCTCCTCACTGCTCGAGAGAGTCCCAGCAGCAAACAGAAGGACGGCGTGTTGAACCTCTCCCGGACGCCGGGGAAGGAGAAAGGGGGAGGGAGAAAGGGAGAGAGGGGGGGGGGAGTATTATCACTGAGGGCAGAGCCAGGCGCGCGCAGCCTCTCGGTGCTCACTACGATGAGCTTCTCCTCTCCGCTCGATCACGCTGCCTTCACCTTTCTGGACTCCCCCCTCCCCTCCCTTTTCTCTCACCCTTCTTCTTCCCCCCTTTCTCTCTCTTTCTCTCTCGCCCCTCACACGTGCACACGTGCGAGCTCCTCTCCCCACACCTCCCGCCCCTCCTCACTTTAGGAAGCGGACCTGCGCGGGGGGCGGTGGGGCCGCATGTAGGTGAAGTTGAGCTAGGCCAGAGGTCGTTGCTAATAAGCACCGTGCCGCGGGAACGGGGTATCACTCTCCCCCCGCCCCCTTCTTGCTTCTCTCTCTCTCTTTTTCTTTTTCTCTCTCTCTCTCTTTGCCGAGTAGATAGTTCGCGCTCCTGTCAAAGTCAGTGAGAAGGGGGGGAAGAAAGGAGCTGTAAGGTATTTATTAATGTGGCGGCCGTGAAATTGGCAGCAGCAGGAGCGGCAAGCAGCGCTATGTACACCGCGGATGGGAGCCGCACTAAAAATTGCGCTTTGTGATCGTTATCTCACGTTTGACACCGCGCGCAGCCCGGGTGGGCGAGGGTCTGTACAGGGTCCTGGAAAAACATGTGTCCTTGATGGATGTGCA